GTTAAGACTTTTCCCTATAGTTCTCCTGTACTCGCCCCCTGCCCCGTCCGATCCGCCAGTCAGCGCTGGCGGATCGGAGCGGGGAATCCAGCCCCTCCCCTGTCACGGCAGAGGGCTGTGACAGGATCGAGAGGTGAGCTAACGCCGGTATGTGTTCGCTCACTTCTCGATCTACTGAGCCGACCTGTGACAGTCTCATTGTCACAGTTCTCATTCAAATAATAAACTTTTAGGGTTGTACCATTAGATCTCAACAACAGTTGGTTAGTAACCACAGGTCAAAACAACTCAGTGGATGGAGACCTCTCCATGTGTACAAGCAAGAAGGCAGAAGGAACCAAAGGATTTTCCAACCAAGGGATTTTTAACTAATTTATAGGGTGTGAGAAAACATGGTGTTCCCTGTGAGAGGAATCTTCCAATATACACTTGTTGCCTGGAATTGCACTTACCTATTGAGTGAGAAATAAAAAGCTCAATAAGCCTTGTCCTACCATACCATCTCAGTGTTTCCTGAATGTTCCTACTATACCATCTCTGTGCTTCCTGATCTGCCCTACCATAGCATCTCAGCGTTTCCTGAACTGTCCTACCATACCATCGCTCAGCGTTTCCTGATCTGTCCTACCATACCATCGCTCAGCGTTTCCTGATCTGCCCTACCATAGCATCTCTCAGCGTTTCCTGATCTGTCCTACCATACCATCTCTCAGCGTTTCCTGAACTGTCCTACCATAGCATCTCTCAGCATTTCCTGATCTGCCCTACCATACCATCTCTCAGCATTTCCAGATCTGTCCTACCATAGCATCTCTCAGCATTTCCTGATCTGTCCTACTATACCATCTCTCAGCATTTCCTGATCTGTCCTACCATACCATCTCTCAGCGTTTCCTGATCTGTCCTACTATACCATCTCTCAGCATTTCCTGATCTGTCCTACCATACCATCTCTCAGCGTTTCCTGAACTGTCCTACCATAGCATCTCTCAGCATTTCCTGATCTGTCCTACCATACCATCTCTCAGCATTTCCAGATCTGTCCTACCATACCATCTCTCAGCATTTCCTGATCTGTCCTACCATACCATCTCTCAGCGTTTCCTGAACTGTCCTACCATAGCATCTCTCAGCATTTCCTGAACTGTCCTACCATACCATCTCTCAGCATTTCCTGATCTGTCCTACCATACCATCTCTCAGCGTTTCCTGAACTGTCCTACCATACCATCTCTCAGCATTTCCTGATCTGTCCTACCATACCATCTCTCAGCGTTTCCTGAACTGTCCTACCATACCATCTCTCAGCATTTCCTGATCTGTCCTACCATACCATCTCTCAGCGTTTCCTGAACTGTCCTACCATACCATCTCTCAGCATTTCCTGATCTGTCCTACCATACCATCTCTCAGCGTTTCCTGAACTGTCCTACCATAGCATCTCTCAGCATTTCCTGATCTGTCCTACCATACCATCTCTCAGCGTTTCCTGATCTGTCCTACCATACCATCTCTCAGCATTTCCTGATCTGTCCTACCATACCATCTCTCAGCGTTTCCTGAACTGTCCTACCATAGCATCTCTCAGCATTTCCTGATCTGTCCTACCATAGCATCTCTCAGCATTTCCTGATCTGTCCTACCATAGAATCTCTCAGCATTTCCTGATCTGTCCTACCATACCATCTCTCAGCATTTCCTGAACTGTCCTACCACACCATCTCTCAGCGTTTCCTGAACTGTCCTACCATACCATCTCTCAGCATTTCCTGAACTGTCCTACCATACCATCTCTCAGCGTTTCCTGATCTGTCCTACCATACCATCTCTCAGCGTTTCCTGAACTGTCCTACCATACCATCTCTCAGCGTTTCCTGAACTGTCCTACCATAGCATCTCTCAGCGTTTCCTGAACTGTCCTACTATAGCATCTCTCAGCATTTCCTGAACTGTCCCACCATAGCATCTCTCAGCGTTTACTGAATTGAACAGCTGTTTATAGGGCTGCAGAGTTTGGAAAGCAGTCCAAAGCAGTTCCTGAACTGTCCTACCATACCATCTCTCAGCGTTTCCTGATCTGTCCTACCATACCATCTCTCAGCGTTTCCTGAACTGTCCTACCATACCATCTCTCAGCGTTTTTTCCTGATCTGTCCTACCATACCATCTCTCAGCGTTTCCTGATCTGTCCTACCATACCATCTCTCAGCATTTCCTGAACTGTCCTACCATACCATCTCTCAGCGTTTCCTGAACTATCCTACCATAGCACCTCTCAGTGTTTCCTGAACTGTCCTACCATACCATCTCTCAGCGTTTCCTGAACTATCCTACCATAGCATCTCTCAGCATTTCCTGATCTGTCCTACCATAGCATCTCTCAGCGTTTCCTGATCTGTCCTACCATAGCATCTCTCAGCATTTCCTGATCTGCCTCAGCGTTTCCTGAACTGTCCTACTATAGCATCTCTCAGCGTTTCCTGAACTGTCCTACTATAGCATCTCTCAGCATTTCCTGAACTGTCCTACCATACCATCTCTCAGCGTTTCCTGATCTGTCCTACCATACCATCTCTCAGCGTTTCCTGATCTGTCCTACCATACCATCTCTCAGCATTTCCTGATCTGTCCTACCATAGAATCTCTCAGCATTTCCTGATCTGTCCTACCGTAGCATCTCTCAGCGTTTCCTAATGTTTAGAGGGCAAGTTTACTTAGAATTTGAAATCCATTAGCAAAATGCTAGTAGCTGCAGTCCCACAGCAGATGCAAATCCTGGCCAAATACTTGCAAAATAGCTGAAAACAGCTGTTTATAGGGCTGCAGAGTTTGGAAAGCAGTCCAAAGCAGTTACTGGCTCTTTCGTAGCTTAGAAAAGCATAGATTGCTTCCATGAATTATTAGTAAACTTATCTACACTGACAAAAATTCTTATAAAATAAAATTAAGTAGATTCTTCCATAGGTTCCTCTATTTCTCTAAACATAAATATATCTTATGATTGCCTTGCTTGATGCTGTAAATTTGTAAAATTACCACACAGGGCAAGAGATATAAGGGTAATTATATTATACTTAACAGAAACTGGTCATGTGCTGTAAATCAGTGACAATACAGATACATAACAGGAACGGTCAATGCCATTTTGAACCTTAAGAATTTCTGACCATCTCTCAGTGCCAAGGAAGGCCCTAAAAAAAGTGTTGACTCCATTCCCCCATAATGTAATGGTCTGCGCTTCTCTCCCTTTTTCCAGGCCCAGACACTGACACATTGGAGAAAGGGGACATACCAACTTTTTGGTACTTACATATGACCTTTGGGAGGTTGTGGGAGCACAGAAAGGAGGTGGCCTGAAAACTAATAATATGAGATGGCATCAGAGGAAGCCTGCTACACAACTGTGGTGTCATTTTGATTTGTACCACGATGCAACAAGTGTACTTTAAATAAAACTTGCTCGAGAATACACTGCACTTCAAAATGTTTCAGAACAAATCTGCTCTCAAGAACAATACAACTTTACACTGCATTTTTTTTTATTACCCTGGAACACTAACATATATGATCCACAATCTGGTAACACAGTAAGTGGATTGCAGTAAGCATAAGCTTCCATGCTACATAAATAACCATTTAAAAGCCAAAAAAATCCTCTTTTTTTTTAATTAGAGCTCAGTATCAAATCATAATTTTTATTAGAGCTCAGTATCAAATCACAATTTTATAGGCTTACTTAGGAAGTATTTATACTTGCCTAGTCAAGCCCTAAAGTTTGATACACCTGAAGGTAACTTAAAGTCTGACAAGTACTTTTCTGTCAACTGCCTGAACTCCCACAGGCTGGGTTCACACCTAGGTGTATTGAATATGCGCATTTTTCGCGCGGTAAAAGAAACACGCGAAAAATGCGCGTTTCCGAGGGCTACTTGGCTGTATACCAATGGAGACGCCCGACCAAAACGCCCCAAAGAAGTACATGTACTTCTTTGGGCGTAGGGCGGTTTCCCGCGCGTTCGTACTCGCGGAAAACCGCCCAGATGGGAACCATGCACATTGAAAATAATGGCATTTCCCTGTTTGAGTACGAAAGTGCGGAAAAACGCCCAGGTGTGAACCCAGCCACACAGTCTCTCACCTTTTCAGAATTACAGCATCAACCAACAGACGTCTACAGTTGTATATTACTCTTAACTGCAGGGTTCTGTGACAAACAAGAGTACACCACTAATGAGAAACATGCAACCTGCCATTGATGGCCTCCTTCTAAAAAGCTAGTTACCCATGTTCAGCTTCTATACTTCTGGGTCACTGACCCAGAGGAGGCAAGCAAAAATTAATTGCAAGGGAAAAGTCAGAATTCATTATCTCTATGCTTGTGCAGGGTCAGTACTCAAACAATGAAAGTCATTTCATCACAATGATGACACACAGGAAGCTAGAGGAGAGTTCAGCAAATGCAGCCCACATACATGTCATGACAGGCTTCCTCTAAGTACAAAATAAGAAGACCGCAAATAAACAGACTTGATGAGCTCCTCCTCGCATATTGGCAAAATTCTAAAAGTTCACTTTCCTCCACAGACTGCAATATCAAGCTACCAGATTCTACCTCTATGGCTTATCTACCACTAGTGTTGAGGACAACTAGGCAATGAGATCAGTATTAACAGTGATGACGGCCGATATAAAAAGAATTAAGAAATAAGTCTTAGTGAAATGCACCCCTTTGGCCAACGTATCAAATCTACGAAATCTATGCAGACTACTTTATTCTGACACAAATCCTTTAACAGCATAATAGTGATCCAAAATAATTTCACATACAATAGACTGTAATAGAAAATCTATTTGCAAAGCTTCAACTTCGGACATGGGGAGGGGGTTAGCATTGTCACCCTTTTTTGTTAAATAAGATCACAAACTGAATAACACAGTAATAAAAAGGACAGAAGATCTAGTCCCTGAGTACATGAAAAAGTAAAAATACTTATACATACCTAAGAACAACAACTATAGGACTCTCGCTGCCAGTGACCACCATGAGACCTTTCCAGATCATCAGTGCAGAGGATACAATCATACCAAAGTTTAAAATTTGATAGTACAGCTGAAAAGAAAAAGACACAATGCTTTTACTGCCTGTTAGGGTGTTACTGATAAACATACTTTTGTTTGGTAAATAAGGATGAATACAAAAGAAATACAAAAAAATAAATACATTCTAAAAAGGTATAAAAGACTAGAGACAATGGAGGCCTCCTAAAAGAGAAGATTTCTTATAGCATAGATGCATTTCATGCAGAATTGTTTGTAGAAAAGAAACTTGTTTAATTTCCTAAGATTTATAATCACTCTGCATTTCCCAGAAGCTTTCTGGGTCACCAGGGAGTAGAACCCCTGAACTAGTTGGTCCTATGAGAATTCTAATCAGTAGCTGCTCGAAAACTGCTTCCCATCGGTTGTAAAAGTGAGAGCCTTATCCGTTGCCTGGTATCACTTTCTTTAGGGGGTTCAGTAGCATTAAGCATAAGGCCCCCCATTTCTTTTGATCTTATCGACGACCATTTTTTCTTGGTCCCTATAATTAATACTTGTTTGAGTCTTGTTTTGTTGACTATGATATGGCTTCATGTTGCAAACCTTTTCTGCTTAGAAGTGAATTTTGTACTTTTTTGAGATGAACGGGTCAAACAGTTTCTAAACTGTACCAAAGAGCAAAATATCCTCAAACAGAATGGCGTATTTTTTGCAAGGGGTTAATTTGTGAAAATTATAAGTTTTTGCAAACACAAATTTTGAGGTATTACTACAGTTTTAGATGCTTGTTTGTCAATATGTGTTTGTGGTTTTATTGAACTAGGCATGTACCGATACCTTTTTTTCAGTATAGAGTACGATTATTTGTTTTCCAGTACTCGCCGATACCGAGTAGTACCAATGCTGTGTGCCCCGGACCATGATCCGTCATCCGGGTTCCTGATTGCCTGTGAAGCCAGTGTTTTAGCGAAAGAACACTGGCTTCCTGACCAATCAGGAAGCCAGATGGCGAGTCATAAGGTGCCGTCCGGCTTCCTGATTGGTCAGGAAGCAAGGCTGCCTAGCAACAAGTGAAGCCGGCTTCCTAGCCAATCAGGAAGCTGGGTGGCACGTCATGACCAGCCTCCTGGCTTCACTGTTTTACACGCTAGGCAGCAGGGGCGGGAGTCATGACATGCCACCTGGCTTCCTGATTGGTTAGGAAGCCAGGCTGCCTAGCAACAAGTGAAGTTGGCTTCCAAGCCAATCAGGAAGCCAGGAGGCAGGTCATAACCCTCCTCCCGGCTTCCTGATTGGAAAGGAAGTAGTCTCCAAGCTCCCTTGGCACTGCCGGTCAGAGGGAGATCTCCCTCTGCCGGGAAGTTCCGGTATCGGAGGTAAGTATCTGACCATTTGGATGAGTACAATTACGGCCCCGATACTAGTATGGTGCATCCCTAGTACTAAAGAGAATCAAAGACTAGCCAGTAGAGGAAACATTGTAGTTCATCATAATCACTTAAAAAATATAAAATAGTCAAAAAGTCACTAGGTAATATATAGACATTTAACTTATGGCCAAGCAGTACCCTGAAAATCTATGGTTTGTTTTGAATTCCCCTGGAGCAGTAGCAGTGCGCTTTCTGACACACAGCTGAGCCTAGGCACTCCTAGAACTGCATATCTCAGAACTGCATATCTGCAGTGTGAAATTATTTAGAGTATACCTTCCCACTGCTGTATCTGATGAATGCTATTATCACAAGATTTAGGCCTCATTTACAGAGGCGTAACTAGAAACCTCAGGGCCCCGGTGCAAGAAACCGTTAAGCCCCCCCCCAAAACATGATTTTGACCCCTTTTTTTCAAACCGGTTTGAAAGGGGTTTTTTTTGTGTGTCAGAGGGGAGAGCGGGGTACAAGCAGTCACTGATAAGTGATCGCTGAGTGTAGATAATTGAGGACAGAGTATGGTTACTATATCCTCAATTATGAATGAATGGGAAGTAATCTACATCACCTCCTGTTCATTCATGATTGTGGTTATAGTAATCATACTCAATGTCCTCATGTTATGAATGGACAGGAACACTCAGTATAGAGGATTCCTGTTCATTGATAACAGGGGATACATAAAAAGAGATTGACGGCTCTGTGCACCTCTAATTTCTTTTAAAAACTTTTTTTATCACTTTTTTCTTTTATACATTTTTTTTTATTTTACTATCTTTTACTTTTTATAATTTCCATTATTATTTTTTCATAAATGTTTATTTGATAATTTATTTAAAAAAATGTCACTTAACTTTATTGCTATCACACAAGAGCTAACAAGCCCCATGTGTGATAGCATTTGGAGGTGACAGGTTCTCCTTTATGAATCTGCCACCCTCAATACAGGAGTTCTAGCACAGCACTGTGCTAGAACTCCTGTGACAGCTGAGAGGAAGGGCTGCGAGTGCAGCTCTCCCCTCACTGTCTACTCAACCCGGCGTGAAGGGTGGGGGGCGGGACCTTTCTGAAGGGGGGCAGGAACTTACCTGCCTCTCCTCTGCTCGGAGAGGCGGCTCTGATCACACCTGTCTGCTCTCCCTCTCTCTCCTCCTGGCCGCTCTGAAGCTGCAGCGGCCGGGAGGAGAGAGAGGGATCGCTGACAGGTGCGAT